AAATATAGGTATAGTTAAGAGAAATTATTAATAAATTACCTTTTAGTGAAAATGAATTCAAAGTATTAATGACCAATGAAATTGATAATCAATGGAAAAATATCTACAATCTGATTTTTCTTATTACTTATTTTTTGCATTTATATTATCACAAAAAAAAATTAATTCATCAAAATAATTACAAATTCAAGAAAATGCCTATTTTTTATTTTGTATACTATATCTAGTAGGGTTTTTCAAAATCGAATCAAATCAAATATTTAAGCAATTAACTTTATTTGATTTTTTCAAATCAAATTAAATCAAATAAATCAAACTCAAATATTTGATCGAATTAATTTGAATCAAATCAAATCAAATCAAATAAGTTGTTCAGCATTGCTCAGCCTGTGGAAATACTGGTCATACAAAAGTTAATTATTCTAAAGTTAAGCGAATTGTCATTCAACAAATTATTCATAATTGCTCAGTCTATAGAAAGGCTGGTCATACAAAGGTAAATTGCCCTGGAGTTAAGAGGACTAAAAAGATTAATTTTGTATACCATGATGAGGTAGAAGAGCTTGAAGTTCCTGAAAAAGAATACATAAAAGAATACATAGTAGAAGAGGAAGAGGATCCTAAAGAAGAGGAAGTAGAAGAAGATGTCGAATATGTTGATGATGACGATTCTATCCTAAATACTTCTGACTGAAACTATTATGCTATAAAAAAAAGTGAGGCAAAGTGAAGTACCTATGAAAAAGAGCGTTAAGCTGAAAGAAGGAGCAACCAAGAAGTCCTCTACTTTTCAAGTTTCATATTAATAAAATACCTATTGGCAGAATATCAGGCAATATAATTATGGCTACAAATCAAATATATCAAATAGCCTTAAAATCTTTAATATTATTATTAGTCTTCTATTGTTCTAGAGAGATTCTTATAGAAATTTCGAAATTTATTAATACAATATTTCCTAAATTAAAAAACCCATTGCTTGAATACTGTTATGTCAAACGATACAGTTATAAGAAGGGAATTAGCATGGAAGAATATTACAGAAAAAGTTCAAGATATTTTGTTTCCGCTATTACAGGCAGTAAATACTGAGCAGAAGCCCTTTTAAATGTCCCATCTCCTTCTGACAAATAATATTATGAAAATAGAACCTTTGTCAGATAATAATCATCCAGAAGTCAAATATACTTTGAATTATACTATTAAAGCATATGCTCAGTATCAATCAGCTAAAAAAAAATAGTCAAATATATTGGCCCAAACCCTTAGAGATAAATTTTTTACAAATAAAGAATGCTAACGATATTGCAACTATTAATTGCAAAATATGAGGTTTGATAATACCTTGTGCAATAATTGATACAGGCTCTGATTCTTTTATATTTTCAGATAATATTACTGAACTTTTCAAAGAGTTTTTAGGTATTAAAATTAATAGGAAAAAATTTTATAGGCTTAATGGGATTGCAAGTTAATCCATATTCATCGGCATTATAGATAATGTTCCTATAACAATTGGTTTTAGAGACAATATAGCTAATATCAAGAATGAATTTTTTGTTGTGCCTGCAGAAAAGGATCGTAATGTAAATGCTAAATCTTTAATAATTCTTGGTACTCAATGATAATATTGAGCAGAATGGAAGTCCTTAGTGAAAAGTGAATTTAAAGCTATATGTAATAGAAAGACTATTACTATTCCCTATTAGTTTACAAATCTCAGTGTAATATTTTTACTGTGAAAAAGAAGGATCCTAAAGAAAACATTCCTATAAAAATAAAAAAATCTAACTGATTGAACATGTTAATACTACGAAAAGAAGTTTACATATCCCTATTTATTTTTACATCATAAAAACTAAATGTTGGATTAATGGTAAGTCTACCAATTCTATATTAGATTATAGTTAAGTTAACGAAGAGTTTATGTTGAGTCATAGTCTAGACGATGTAGTATCTACATTAAGTTATAATCAAGTCAATGTAGAGTTTAAGATCAAACTGAAATGATTGAACTATGTATATATGACCGGAAAGTATATTTTTTCAGATGATAGGATCATCTTTAGCATTATCATGCCATCTATTCCACAAATTTTGAGCATTATTTTCATAAAAACTAGTTAGTTCTATAGTATTATCTATATAGCCAGGATTAATTCTCCATAATCCTTTATTATAAGCAATAATTGTCTAATCCTTATTATAGATAATATTATCCAATACTTTAATAGTTTTTTTGCAGATGCGAGTTCTTTTTTCAGAACATTCCTATCCTTTTTAGTCTGAGAAATAGTAGTAGATAACTTACCAATTTCTTTATCTTTTTCAATCATGGCTTTTTCTAATGTGAAAATGCGAGATTTGTAAACTGATAGAGGAATAGTAACAGATAAAACTTAGGTATGATTATTGAGCTTGCAGAAACTCATATAGAGCACACTCAAACACTTCAGTCCTCAGTATTCTATACTCATTCTAGGATAAGGTTATATAATTTAAGATTAAAAATAGGCCAGTGCATTAACAAATATGGTATACTCCATTATCTTAAAAGCTAAAAAATATGGGTAAGGAGAGGATTTACACCCAGCATGTTTTAAAACATGAATTTATTATAGATTCTTGATATGTTTTCTGGTCTTGTAGGGTAATTTAGAGTTCAATATAGATTCCATAAAAATTTGTATACCGGTTTTACGCTTAGGCAGGGTCCTACTATTTATACAGCTATTTCTGGAATTTTGTCCTAGAACCCCCTTTTTTCCCTATATCTATTATGGTTTCTTCCTCCAACTATATTTTGTGCATAATTTTATACACAAAAAAAAATTGTGCACAAAAAAATTTATAGAACACAACTTTATGATATATAGAAATTTAAATAAATTATGATGTTATATTAAATTCTTCTTTCGCGTTTTTTTAATTTTTCATTTATTAATATGGCTGATATTACTAAATACTTGCATGGATCTCAAATAAATCATATAGTGCACGAAATGTGCACAAAATTTTAGTTTATAAAGTGCACAAAATGTTGCGATGCCGCACAAAAAAAAATTTCTTGTGCACGTCTTTAATTGGTATCATCCCCTATTGTATAATCTCCTCATAAATCTGATGTAAAAGACACGGGATATTATACATTAAATTTATTTAATTAGCATTTATATAAATCGGGTTAATTTAATTTCAAATAGTACCTTATATGGTATAGCGTAGTACCCTCCCCATAGAATAGTACCTCGGATTTGTAAATACCCGGGTACTTAGTCAACCGTTTACGGTAAGTAAAATTCCTTTTAAATTTGGAAGGAAAGTTCTCAAAGACATTTTGAATGGTCAATCCTACGACATGTACACTTGGTTTCAGTTATACACGTTTCCGAAAATATATTTTCATGTTTGGACAAATGGTTAACGTGACGAGTATCAAGCTAGATTAAGCATGAACTTGAGCGTGCAAAAAGGTATTGCAAAATATTCCTCGAGATTGACTGCCTGCAAAGTTGCAAATGAAAAATTTATTTGTGATTTATAACACGTTCAGTTTATTTTCTTTTTTTGCCCGATTCTGCTTTTTGAGTATGTTAATCTCAATCGGTGAAACCTGGATTGGATCATCAACCAAGAAAATTTCAATTTATTCGGTAAATCCAAGTTGAATGATACTTTGCGGATCTATTAGGTAATATTGATGTGAATAATTTCAATCCAACAATATAATATACACAAGTTTTCCCTAATCTCAGTAAGGGTTTCGGCTGAATGTTGTGTTCCGCTACGATATTACGTATTCAATTCCAATCACGTGGACATAATGCATGGGTCCTAATCAGGGTCACAATTTCACGTGCTTTTATGCATAGTAAAAAACCCATAGTACAAATAATAAATAAATTCATTTTTCAATGAAAACCTTATTAAGGTTGTATCATTTAATATACTGTAAATTTTAAAACTTTAAATTCATTAGTGCATAAATATCTTGACGGAAATGTGAGTAAAAGACATTTTTCTGTAGAATCCTTTGCACATAGAATACAAATTTGCTATTTCCCGTACAACTTTTAATATTTTTTTTAAAAAAAAAAAATTCGTTGAATTTGTTTATAATTGATTTATTAATAAAAACATTTCCATAAATATTAAATTTAATATAAATATAAATTAAGGAGAACTTGATAAATTACCCTAATACACAAAAAGATCGTGATGACATGATTTGATGAATAAAAAAAATGAAATATGACGTGTTTATCACCAAAGTTTTTTTAAGGCAAATAGCGTAAATTCTTGGTATGATTATAAAAAAAAAAGTGGGTCGATCATCAAATCTGGACTTTTATATTATATATTCTAAATGCAATTTGTCTAATTATAGAAACTAATTACAAAATTATTATATTCTTGGCATGTTTCAAATAACATCTTGGCGTCTTTACCAGGTTAAAATTTATCTTGTAGAACATGTATCAGGGTTTGTACTATTTTTAAATCCGGATTTTTTATACTAGTGCTTAATTGCGTGTCCCCATTCACTCACCCCTTTATAATTTTTACTTTCTTAGACGTTTGTTTGATTTTTTTATATTATCTTATACACAATACAAATAAAACAAAAGGGTTTTTTTTGTACTCGGGATATTTCGAATATTTATTTATACGAGTCGATTCTCTTTAGGCGCGTAGGAAAAAAAAATCCTTTTTTTCTCTTCCGATTATATGAACAGAATATATATATATATATATATATAAAATATTTTTTTTTTACCAGTAAATTATTAAAATTGTCATTGTTTTCGTAAAAGAAATATATATATATTAATATATATCATTTGTTAGAAAAGCAACGATTCTTTTAGGTAAGAGGAATAAAATAAAATTGAGAAAAAAAAAAAAAAATTTTTTAAAAAAATTTATTAAAGTTGTGATAACCTCATTTTAATTAGTATTATTATAAGTCTTTCCAACAAAAAAAAAAATAAAATAAAAACATGGCTTACAATAATCATCATCAAAATCAATATCACAATAATCCATCAAGTCCAACTAGTCCAACCAGTCCAGCTATTCCACAAATGAATGAAATTTCAGGAGGATATTATAATGAAGGTCCTTCAACAATTACCTCCACCTCAATTCAATCTCCAGAAAATCAAAAAGTACAATTAAATCAGAGACATCTAACGGATATAGATACTAGAAATTATTCAACAGGATCATTAAGTGGAGGTACTGTATCTTGCCTAATATCCATTTTACCGTCGGAATTATGTGATTAATTTGTTTTTTTATTTAGCTACCGCAGTTGGGACACCTCGTGTTAATCCTGCCAGAAGTGCTTATAATGATGTTGATTCAATAAATTCATCACTTTATAATCATGATCAAGCGGCAACAACAAATGATGCGTCGGATTTGCAACGTCAATCGCCATACGGAAATCCACAATATACAGGTGATGATACAGAAGAACCAACGGATGCTATGTATACGAAGAGAGAAAGTTCATCGAGACTTACTTCAGCTCCTTTAACGGATAGGGAGACGTACGATTTAGGTAATACGGGAGATCAACATTCTCGTGGTCAGAGTCAGAACAACGGTAATGTTACCCAATACAATAATTATCATCGTCAAGATGATCCTTATTATGACGAAGAAGCAACCCGTCATAATACCCTTACTTCAAGATACCCAAATCATTATGAAAATGAATACACTGATAGAGATTTCCCCGGTGGTGGTAAACATGCACGTCAATCTTTGAGTGCAAGTGACTACGCTAGACCTGAGAAAAAACGAAAAAGTGGATGTTGTTCTTGGTCACTTTGTTGCTTAATTACTATTTTGATCATAATTGGATTGGGCATTGCTGCATTTTTTGTTTGGCCTCGTAAACCTAATGTTGATGTTAAAGAAGCTATACCTGAAACACAACCAATTCTCAGTTTAAATCCTCCTTTCATTGATATGAGTTTTACAATGGTTGTTGAAATTGATAATCGTGAAAATTGGGTTCCATATAAATTCAATAAAATTGATGTTGCGGTAAGTAAGAGGATATTTTAAAACGTGTATTTTTGGGGTAAACCATTATTAATTTTGGTTTTAATTAAACATTTATCTTCCTCCTTTCTTCAAACTTTAGGTGTATGATAGAGCGGCTAAAAACGATAAATCTATTGCTACTGGTTCAAGACCTGATTACACTTTACAACCAAAGGCTATTAATACATTAGAATTTCCACTCACAGTTAATTACAAAGCTGATGATGTTAATGATCCTGTAATAGTGGATTTTGTTGCCGCATGTTCGCCTGATTCTAAGCCAAATGCTCCTTTGAAACTTAGAGTTGACGTTGAATTATTTATATTTGGCATTGATTGGATTTACAAACCAAAAATTTCTGTTCCTATACCTGACATGAAATGTCCTACTTTATAAGTCATATATATATATATATACTTACCTATAATGTAAAAAGGGTGATTTCTGTCTATATACGTATATTAATCGGATTTATTTTTTTTTTTTATGTAAAAAACCTTTATTATTTTTTAGACTAATTATTAATCTATTTACCTTTAAAAGGATTAGTAATTTGAAATATTTATTTATAAGAGTATGAGATATATACACATTTATTAAATTACTACCCTATCAATATTTAAGATATATATCGTGTACCACGGGTTAGCGTCATTAAAAAAAACTCGGCTGAGCAATAGGCTAGTTTCACCTTTATTCCTTTTAGATTCGATAATGAAAATCACCAGGCGTAAATAAGTCACATTGCTAAATGAAAATTTTTATGATATGCAAATAAAAGCAATGTAAATTAAATGATAGACATAATAAAACCTGTAATTTTTTTTGTGTTCGCTTTATTTTGATATTTTACCCATATCATGAAAAGAAAACCATATATAAAAAATTGAGTAAGTTTTATTAGTGCCTTTAAATTTCTTGCTCAAAAAAAAAATTTACCACCCCTACGG